CAGCTTCTCTAATTTTCATATGTCTTTTGTTAATGCTGCCTTTTGGCAACTTTGCATAATTCTTAATTTTATTAACTAACTTAATTTATTTTTTCTATTAAGTTTTGCTAACAGACCTTATATTTGTTTTATTATTAACTTCTATCACAATGTTTTGCAATTGTCCAAATTCTTGTGTTCTATTATATAATTCTTAAATGTTCTTAGTAAGCTGCTTTTTTGGTTTGCCAAATATATTATTAGTTAGTGTATGTTTACTTTTTTTTTGATATTTTCATTAATTGTAGCATATAGTTTAACTTTAGTATTATCATCATGTTATTTATATATGCTATTTGGCTTATTGTTATTTCTTATACTTCACATCTCTTATTGTTTGGCTTATTATTTTTTTGCTTTTTTCTTTACTAGAACTTCTTGCAAATTTCCAAAGAATAAACTATCTTGTTTCTTAGTTTCTCTATTATTCTACTTTTTTTGAATATTATTTCTCTTTCTTCTTTTTTGATTTTTTTATTTATTATTATCAGTTATAACTAGATCTATTTATTTTTATATCATTCATTTTAAAAAACTCTTTTGCTATTTTTAATATTTATAATAACTGTTTTTTGTTATTTGTAATTTATGTTGTATCATTTATATATGTAATTATTACTTGATAATAGCTTATAATATTATTGCAATATATTTTTTTTTTGGTTTTTTGTTTTACTATATAGTCTAACCTTTCATCTGTTTGTATCTTTTCTAATAATAGGCTATAAAAGAGATGCCATATTAGTAATTATATTACTTCACTTTAATCTATTTTATTTTTTACTACTATTTTTTCTGTTAGGCTATAAATTGTGATTATCTTAAATTGTCTCTTATAAAAAAGATTTAAAATATATTTAATTGTCTTCTAACTTTTTGTAGAACTAGTTCAAGACTTTTAGTAAAACCGAGTTAAAAGCCTTTTTTATATCTTGTAGAAATATTTATAATTCTTTATTTTTTTCTTTTGTTTCATCTATTGTTATATTTAGAATATGTACTGGTTATTCTGTTGAGTTTTCTAGAAGGCCTGCATAGTTTGGTTTTTTAAGTATTTTTTTTTCAATAAATATTTTACTAAGCCTTTTTGTCAACACCTTTGTTATAATCTTTCTGAATAGCTTAATTAATGCTATTGGCCAAATATTATTTAAACTATATCTCTATTCTATATCTTTTGGCATTGGATATCTATTTTCTACTTTATTAGTATTTTTTCTATTTCTAAATATAGATCTGCATAGGCTCTAAACATTTTTTGTGCTTTTTTTTTTGCTCTTTTAATTAATATATAGCTTATTTCTAATATTCTTAGATCTGTTTCTGTTTTAAGCTCTTTAATAATTTTATTTTATTCTTTTTTCTTAATTTTTCTTTTAATTCTATTATATCATTCTTTTTTAATATAATCTTGTAGTTTATAGATTTTTTTCAGCTTTTTGATACCTTTTCTAATTTGGTATTCTTTTTTCTAAATTGTTTTTTATAATGTTTTACTGTAACTTCTTTGATTAGTTTTAATTTTGTTACTATTTTTATCTTTTTTTCTGCTTGTTTAATTAATCTGTTAAGTATTATCTTCTTATACAGCTTATTTAACAGGCTGCCTATTATCTTTTCTTGGTTAGTTTTGATTATTTTATATTTTTTGTCTATGTTTTCTTCTATTGTTTTCTTTGTTTTTGTTCTTATTTTTTTTCTGCAGAATTCTTTGCCAATTTTTTATATTCTCTATTTAAGCATCAGACCAGTATCTATAAATTTTTGGTAACTTTGTATCTACTTTCTTGTCTAGTACCTTAAGTTTTCTATTTACTTTATTTTTTTCTGCTTCTGTAACTTTCTGTTCTTTTCTTATCTTTGTGTATTTGACTAATCTTTGAAGCTTTATAATATTTTTTCTTGTTATTAGTTCTCTTAACTATATTTTCTGTTTATTGCCATGTTGTAAATTTTTTTTTTAGATATGTGCTTGTTTGCTACTATTATAATTGTCTTTATTATCAAATTCTATATATCATTTATCTTTTATATTTTTCTTATTACTTCTTGTTCTTTTTTTTTGAATATGCTTTAATGCTTCTTTAATTTTCAAATATTTTTGTAATTCTTATGCATAGTTTTTTTATTTTTTATTCTTTGTAATATTATAGAAATATATTATTCTTGATTAACTTCTTTTTTTAATTTTTGTTTTGCTGCTTTTTGCTATTATGTGCTTAATCTATATTTTTACTATTATTATCTTGTAATCACTTTCTGTAATTTTCTCTATATCTTTAATTTTTGTTCTGATATTAGCTTTTCTGATACCTATATATAGTTAATTTTTGTTGCTATTTCTGTATTTGATTGTAAATATCTTTGTTCTATTGGATACATTTTTTTATATATATTACAAAAATATCGATAGTCTTTTGAAACTTGCAGTTTATAAATTTTGTCTATTTAATATATTGTTTACAGTATAGTTAAAATTATCTATAATAACTATTTGCATTTGTTTTTCTTTTCTTATAATGATCTCTATTATTTTTTGCTAGATAATTTTTTCTACTTCTTTGTTGTTTAGTAGTATATAAACTTCTATTACTATTAACTTCAATTGTTTGAAGTATAATATAATTTCTATTATATATTTATTTATTTTCTTAATTGCATCTATATATTTTTTCCAATGTTCTTTTATCAAAATCTCTATAGCTAATTCTTTGTTCTTATCTTCTGTTACATTGTACCAATATTCAATATATTTTTTAGTTGACTTATATATTAGAAATTTCTCTTCTTTTTCTATAAACTTTGTTTTTGTATCTCTCAATATTGCAACTTCTTCTTTTTCTGCTTAGCTAAACAGATTTTTAAGCTTCTAACTATTAGTTTTTAACTTATTAATATTATAATATACTATTTTTATCTCTTTTTTCCTTTTTTCTATTCTTTTTTAGTTAATTTTGTTTTATTTCTATCATTTCTTTTTTTTTCTTTCTTTTTCTACTCTTTTTTTTTCTTAATAAGAAAATAATATTTTATTTTTGAATATTTCTCTTTTTTTTTACAAAAATTTCTCAAACTTTTTGCCTATTTCTATTACTTTAACTAAAACATCTTCAAGAGTAATTGGTTAGGCTTTCCTTTGTCATCTTTTTTGTCTCTTCTAATTTTTTAATCTTTTCTAAATTTGGCTCAATATGTTTTTTATATATGTATTTTTTTTTTATATATGTCTTGTTTGGTCTTCTGAATTTTGGTTTTAATTATTATTTCTTTTTTTTGTTTTTTAATTTATAGTCTTAAAGTTTTTTTCTTTTTTGGTTTTATTTATATATATTTTATTTTTCTGTTTTTGTTTTCTATTTTTGTTTATTTCTGTATCTGAGATTTGACTAAATTTGTCTCAATTCTTGCCTCTTTCTTCTTTTAGATTTTTTTTATTTATTTATTTATTTAATATAATCAAAAATTATTAAATATAATTAGTTTTGATTGAATTGTTTTTATATCTTCTTTAGTTGCAAACATTACTATCATAGTTCTCTTTTGGTTTTCATTTTTATTTAGTAAAATATAAACTGACTTTATTCTTTTATTTCATAGACTTCATAAAAATAAAATTTCTAAAACATTTTTAAATAATTCTGTCAATTTTGTTGCATATTTTTTCTAATTTTCTCTTATTTTATGGTCTTATTTTCCTATTATGATTTATACTAATTTGTTATTATTAAGTGGTATAACTTATAAAATATCTTTTTTATTTAGTTTTTCTATCTGCACTACTGCTAAAACTTTGTATTTAGAACTTTTAATTTCTACTATATGAGTTTTTTTAAATTTTTTATAAATATATTCTAATTCTTTTTTGTTTATATCTGTTAATAGGTTACATATTATTAGGTAGTTCTTATTTTCATACTTTTCATCTATTTTATATTGTTCTTCATACATCTTTGCTTTATTTTCTTCTTATTTTTGTTTTTTTTTTTATTCTTGACATATTGCTTCTTTCTTATTGCTCTTTCTTGTCAAATTTTCTATAATTTCCTTTCTTGTCTTTTTTCTTTTTTTTTGGTATCATTTTATATTAATCACACTTTTTTTTGTTAATTCTTTGTATTGTTTTACTTCTACCATATTCACAGTCAAAGTCTACTTCTATTTACAAGTTTCTCTTTTTAAAAACTTCTTTAATATCTTCGATATATTTATTGTTTCTTAATGACTATCTAATAAACTTTATAAACCTTTTTTTTGTTTTTTCAGATATGTTGTGTGCTGGTATATTAGCAAGTAAACTTTGTTTTGTTATAGTTTCTCTTGCTTAGAGCCAAGCAACCTGGGTTCGCTCCAGGTCATTCCATATATGAAGTAACCCGGTTTATAAGAAATAACTTTGCTGCGGGTTACTATATAGTTCTTAAAATCTCAACTCACTCTAATCTTAAAATCCGGACATTGCTCCATTAACAAAAGTAGTAAAATTTTTTGTTAGCTATGGTTTGTTGCCTTTGTTTTGTTACACAAAGATCTACGCTATTTTATTAGTTCCGATGCAGGACATAAGGGCGGGTACCCTTATGTCCTGCAAATCCGGACCTCCGATCAAAACTTAGATATTACAGGTGTGTTTTATTTACTTATATTGTATAAAAGAATGAAATTATACGTAAATTTTATTCTAAAAATTTTTACTTAGGAGCCAAACGCAGGTTATCATAGCAAAATTTTGTGTTAGGTGCTGTTTATTGATTTTTTTGCCTTTGTTTTGTTACATAAAGATCTTCATTATTTTAATTGGTTCCGATCTATACGGAGGGATCCGAATTTACAAGACATAAGTGTACCCGGCACACGTGCTTTATGCGGTAGCTATGTTAAAGTATCGAAGTCCTCCTTAACGTTAATCATTCACTCTTGGCATTATAGAAAGCTTAACAAGTCAGTATACTATTACTCGTGTAATGTCTGAATATTTATCAAAAGCAGCAGCGTTTGCTCAGAATGCTGCAAAGCTGTCGAAAAAGGTATCCGAAGGTATAGTTGAAAATGCGCGCGAGTTTGGGCTAGAAGCAACTTCCTCGGGACATTATTTTGATACTTCGGAGGAAAAAATGCGCGATATTAAACGACAATTAGACTCGAGACATGATCGCGAAAAAATGGATGGATTAAAAAGATTAATTGCGGTATACTTTGAAATTTTGAAGCTAACTATCAAGTATTTCGGTCCTTTATTATAATGTGACGAATTTCCTTTCATTATTTGTATGGCTAGATGATTTCAAAGGGTCGCGATGTGTCCGAGTTCTTTCCAGATGTTGTAAAGAATGTGGCATCTCAGAATCTCGAAATTAGGAAACTTGTTTATATATATTTGCTTCGATATGCTGAACAAGAACCTGATCTTGCGTTGCTGTCGATTAATACATTTCAAAGAGATTTGACTGACCAAAATCAGTTGATAAGAGCAATGGCTTTACGAGTAATGTCTGGCATTCGGGTTCCTGTCATTAGTCCAATAGTATTGTTAGCAATCAAAAAGTGTATGACTGATTTATCTGCCTATGTAAGGAAGACCGCCGCACATGCTATTCCAAAATGTTATAGGTATGAATTTTTCAAAATCTTTCTACAACTCTTTATTTGAACATCTATCTATACCACTTACATATTGTATCTTGTTTGCCTACCAAAAGTCTTGATCCATCGCAAAAAGACGCATTGGTCGATGTCATTACTACTCTTCTTAATGATAATTCACCGTTTACAATTGGTAGTGTAATAACAGCTTTTAATGAAGTGTGTCCTGACCGTTTAGATTTAATACATCTACATTACCGAAAACTTTGTCGGATGTTAATTGATGCGGATGAATGGGGCCAAATTGCCATTATGGGCTTACTGTTACGATATGCAAGGTATATAAAATGATACAACCAAATTTTTAATAAAAAAATTTATAATAATTCATTGTGAATTACAGGACACAATTTTTAAATCCAAATCCAGATGTAAGCATTGAATTTATAAATATTTACATGTTATTTAAATGAATGAATTTCCTAGCCTTTGCTTCGTTTTAGAACAATCGGGTTTCTCAAAAGAAAAAGTCGAAGGCATTTTATTCTGATGAAGATTCCGACGATTCGGATAACTCCCTTGACAATTCTTATGCTCTTGACCCAGATCATGAACAATTACTAAGAGATTCTTTACCCCTCTTGCAGAGTAGAAATAGTGCAGTATGTTGATACTTCTATTATAAATATATATCACCTAGCGAATTAAATGAATAACATCTCTTTATATAGGTAGTATTATCAGTTGCAAAAATTTTCTATCATTTAGCACCAACAGCGGATGCATACAAAATAAGCAAACCGCTAATTAGGCTGCTACATAGCCATCGAGAAATTCAATATGTCGTACTGGCTAATATCGCCACAATGGCAACACAGCGACCTGTATGTGTTAAGGTTTTTTTTTAAAATTAATCGCTAATAACTGATTTTAACAAGAATTGTCAAACAATTATTACGATAGTATCTTTTTGAACCCCATTTACAACAATTTTTCGTACGATCAACAGACGCTGTTTTCATTCGTAATTTAAAAATGGAAATTATGACATTAGTTGCGACCGAAAGCAATATAACCGGAATACTTAGAGAATTACAGGTTTAGTTGTAAAACGATCCTGGCAAATAGATATTCGTTATAATGCTAAATCGAATTTATTAATTATTTAAATAATTAGGAATATGTAAAAAGTCCTAATAAAGATTTTGCGACTTCTGCAATTCGAGCTATTGGTCGATGTGCAATAGGAATGCCAGATATGGCTGAAAGTTGCCTTAACGGCTTAATGAAATTATTGTGGAGCAAGAATGGTCTGTTAATTTTCTTTGCTTGAAGTGGATTGAAAAATCTGTAAGTGAAATATTAAATTATTTGGCATTACTTTTAGATGCTGTCGTTGCAGAATCAGTTGTAGTAATAAAGAGGCTCTTACAATTACGCCCCAAAGATAATGCAGATATGATAATACAACTTGCTAAGGCTCTAGATCATATAACGGTGCCAATGGCCAGAGCAAGTATATTTTGGCTTGTTGGTCAATATTCACAAAATTTAGAGAAAGTTGCTCCGGATATATTAAGAAAAGCTGCAAAAACATTTACAGCTGAGGCAGATGTAGTGAAATTGCAAATTATCAACCTTGGTGCCAAGCTCTTGTCACTTCATTCCACAGACCATACACTGAACCTTTTATTCCAGTACGTTCTTAATCTCGCTAGATATGATCTTAATTATGATATCAGAGATCGAGCAAGACTTCTCAGAGGCTTGATTTTAATAAACGAGAAAAAAGATACCCACATGAATAATATGGGAGTGGAGGGTGTTGAAGAAGTAATGCGGTCAGAAGAGTCGAGTAAAAGCACTATATTGATGAACAATTTGAAACGAATACTTTTATGTGAAAAGGAGGCGCCTTCGGAAGAAAGTCCATCTGTGGGTAAATAAGAAAATTTTTTGATCTCTTATGAAACTTACTTTTAAATTTGACGTTTCTTTAAAAAAAAATGTCTAGGAAGAGACAGATTCATTATAGGATCCATGTCACTTGTCTTAAATTACTCTGTACCTGGATATAAATCCTTACCTGATTGGCCAACTAAAAAACCAGACGGCTCCGTCAGAGACAATTTGGTAATCTTCCTTTTTTAGCGATGTTATTCACTTAAATAGGCTAGAAAAAAATGGTTAAACTTAATTGTACGCTTAGGATGATACATGGAATAGAAACCAATACATCAAAGGATTCGGAAGTGATTCATTTGGGCAGTTTGTTCCGTCGTCAACTTATGATAAACTCCCTGTTAAACAACGTAATGAGACATATGATTCTGAAAATTTCTACGACTTTTATGAATCATCTGATGATAATAAAAATCATGATGAAAAGACAGGTAAAACAAGTTTACTGCTTACTTTTTTTCATGCAAGCCAAATAAATATAACATGTCTTTTACAACCCAAATTTTGAAATAGCTCTTCGATATGACTCAATTGAGGATGAGACTTCAGATGAAGATGAGGATGCTAGCGAAGAATATGATAAAGATGAAGACGAAGACGAAGCAAGTAACACATCTGAAGAAGAAAGCTCGGAAGCAGAAACTTCAGAGGAAGAGTAAAGAGGTACATAACTTTAATTATGTTATTAAAATTATTTTAAAACTCGGTCATAATTTTTTTGCATTGCAATATGGAAAATATAAATTGTACTCGAAATTAACAGTTAATATTTAAAAGAATTTGTATTTTATTTTTCAAATTAAAAAGTATTTACAAATTATACATATTAATAAATAATAGACATATATATTAAATATATTAAATAGCTTACAGGTTAATTTAAAGAATAATATTTTACATAAATAAATATAAAAAAGAACGATTTTAATGCTCACAAAAGGTAGTTCAGAATATTTAAATATTTCTCATAATTTATAATAAATTCAGGTTTCATTTTTGGAAAAACTAATTTCACATCTCAACTAATCTCAGCACCATATCAGATATGTAATTGATAATGCCGTTTATATTAATATTAATTCAAACAATTCAAATACGTATGATTATTGACAATTTACCTCATGCGAAGCTGCTAGGGCATGTTCTCAATTCTAATTATATAATCGTTAAATGTACTAATCCGATTAGGTTCGGGCACGGTATAGCAAATGAGTAATGGCCAAAAAACTCCTATTTGAGCAAGCGTCAGATATTTTTTAAACCATGACCCATATAAATCCATTATATCCAATGTACACGGTTAATTTATTGTACTATTTTACTGTACTTTATCAAGCTGTTTTTTTATGCCAGAGTTTATAATTAAATTCATTATATCAAAGTAGTTTTATCAGGATTTGTTATACTGAGGTTACATTTCCCTCTTTATTATCATCCTCTGGACTATTCTTAATAAAATACCCAAGTTTAATTGGTTTTTATTAATATTTCAAGACTTGTAAAGACACCATTTTTAGTACGTACTACTCAATTAAAAAAAACTTGTATATTCTTTTATTGTAATTACAAGTATTTAAATTTGATCAAACAAAATTCTATTTAAATTTGATCCAATCAAAATACATGAAACTGGAAAACTTGTTCGAAATAAAAAAATATGAAAATATTTAGAATAACTTCTATGAACATTTGAAAACTTAGTTCGATTACTTGTAAAACTATTAACAAATACATGAATTATTTACTAATCCAACTCTTTAGAATAATAAATTTATAGAATGCACCGCATATTCTAATATATATTAATAAATAATATCCTACAAAAATACCTTAATAACACCATCTCTATCTCCACTAATTAACATTGGGTGTGGAATTTCTGTAATTGCTAAATCAGTTATGCAATCTAAGTGATTTTTAAGTAGCAATTGTTGATAAGATATTAATTGATTTTTTCCAGCGTTGTATTGTTTATTATTAGCAGATGGTCGCTTAACACTACTATTACTATGACTAGAACCATTATGTCCATTTGAGTGTGTTGAATTTTGTAAAGACGATGTAGTGGACGATGACTGGGATGCTACAGTATTTGCATTACGAGATAGTAATTCATAGTGAACTTTTATTCCATCGAATGGTCTCGTACTGTGCAAATAAGAAATTTCATAAACATCCGAAAACAATAAACATGATGCACTAATAAATGAAACCTTACTTATAAGTAGGTCTAGTTTCGTCAGGATCTGATCCAATAATCACATACGAATCTTCGACCCGATTATTATCCCAAAACCTAATTTTGCGATCTGCTCCAGCTGTTATCATATAATTACATTCATGCGGGTAAAGAACTGCTCGAATAGAATTATCTGCAGAAAAACTGCTTTCATGAGCAGTAAAAGCACTTCGCAATATATCATTTGGACCTGGAGGTTCAACCGCCTATGAATAAAATGTGTATAATGCTTAGAAGTTGTTTCTCAAATGTATTTAAATTTTTAAATAATAGATAATTTTTACCTTAAACATATCTAAAGATATACCACCAATCTTCTCGTCACCAGTTCTCACACCAAAAACTTCTTTACATTCAACTTTTTCTATATCCCAAATTGAAACCTCATTTTTTCCAGCACCAACAATTACCCACCATTTCTGATTTCCAATTTGAGGATGTAAAAGAAGCCTACTAATTCGACTTTTCGTAGGGTGAACCCATGATCGAATTTGAATTCGAAATCGTAAATCCCATAGTGTAAATATTCCTCTAGATGTACCAATAAGAAGCCACCTATGTCTTTTATCAGATACCATTGCTGTAATGACACCGTGGCTTTTAGGATTTTCAAATTTCCATAATATTTGCATTGTCCTTAAATCTAATCCACATATGTTTCCCTTAGATGTTACATAAAGCAAAATAGACTCTGTGCCTGTCAATTATTAAGTACATTAATATATTGTACAATTAAAATTTTACATGTAATAGTATGATACTGCAATACTAACCAGTGTCATAATGTTGCATTGCCACAGCATATTCTCCATCCAAGAATGTTTCTCTTACAGTTTGTGGTTTTCCGTATTTCGGTGCAGGGACTGCAGGAGAATAATCAATTCTAAATATGTGGATACTTCCATTATCTGATGCAGTTGCAATACAATGTGTGCTATCAATAAATGTCATGCATTTGATCTTGCCGCCTATAATAAAATAAAAAGTCAATCAAATTATTATTATCATAAAACTTTGAATATAACGCGTAACAAACCTTGTTGGTTATATGTGACTCTTGAGCGGTTATTAAAGTTTTTAACAAATCTAGCACAATCCCATATTTTAACAGTTCCATCGTCCGAGCATGACGCAAAGAAATTGTGATCAGGAGATACACATATTTGATTAATAGATAATTTGTGTTCTGTAATGTGTGCCACCAATGTACCTAAATGTTTTATATCATAATTAGTTAAACTAAAATATAAATTGAAGTATCCAAATGAGAGCTGGTCTAAGATAACGTCATTCTTAGAATTTAAGAATTATTCGATTTAATATTTAATAATTTGGTATTAATCATTTTGATGATTAATTAAATTTCCAAATTAGTATCTTCCTAGACCAAACCTCAAATAGCAAACTATTAATTTAGGCGAACCTTCAGGTTTCCAGTTAGCAATAGTTCTCAAGACAGGTGTTCCTTTTGCAGCCTTTCCGGGACGTGGAACCAATGGTTTTGTTACTTTTGGTCCAAACTCTATTGTAATTCACTCATGTAAATTTGTAGTTTGTACGAAAATATTTAATAAAAACATATTTCATAATTTAATAATTGCATACCTAGCATAGGTTCAGGAAACGCTTCAAGGTATAAGTTATCCAACAAATTTTTGACATTTCGATCATTACCCTCTGTTGATTAAATTTTTGGAATATTTATTAAAAAAAAATATATATAAATAACATGATGCACTAAAAGTATTACCATATGTGCTAGAAACAAATGCACCAAGATTTTTTCTCGTTGGGATTTCTTCTATCTGTGGATTAACATTTCCATTGATACCATTTATGGTTATATCTGGCTTAGAAACGGGAATAGGCATCTCCATGGTTCCAATAACAGTTGTCGTATTGGTACTAGTTGCAGGTGCCGCCTTCGGGCTATCAACCGGTCTTTTGACTAAAGAAATGTGCCTTTCACGTACTGGTGTCGAAAATGACGGAGTTAAGGAATTTTGAGGGTTCGTTGCGTTGATTGTAATAGGAGCCGGCACATTCTTCCTTTGAATTGTAGAAGATAAAGTACCGGTAACGAGTTCAGGTTGAAATGAAGCTGATACAGGTTTAATTGGAACCTTTCCTTCCGAATTAATTCTAGCTTCTCGAAGACTAGAAGAAATCAAGCGAGCTTGCTCTTCAGCTTTAAGAAGCTGAAGATTACTCTCACTAGAAACTCGTGAAACTGATGGTTCTACCAATGACGCTTTGCTACTCTTCGCACTTGCTACCCGATAAGGGCTAGATCATAATATAACTTATTACATCAGATCAATAAAAATAAACTTATAAATATATTATTTTAAATTACCTTGGTGTCCCAACAACATTCTAAATAGGAAATGCACATTAAAAGACTATATAATGCAATGAAATAAATTCTGAAGCAATATTATTTTTAAACATACTGTTTTATCAGGCAGAAGAGAATTGTTTCTTATAGTGTGCCCATCGGAATTAATTGGCATGACAAAAACATTATGGGGAGTTATACCCAAGTTTTTCAATACGATGGACCCATCCTAATTTCAAAATGTTTGAATTAATTAGAAGTATAATGAAATTAAAATGTTTATCCTACTTTACCTCCATCTTAAGACTTTCATCCAATCTTGGGCGAGCACTTGAGTCCGAATTAATTATATAAATTAATGACGTTGAATTAAATTCGACTCATTGAAAATATGTGTGGACTTACTTTATTTTAGAAACAGATAATTTATATATATAATCTCTCATTGCAATTATTTTTTCTTCGTCCTCGTATGTCATGCCCATACTCCTCATTGTTTCCAAATTCTGTTCATCCCTATATTATTGAAATTTTTTTTTTTTTAATATAGTAGCTTAGTGCCAAATAATCTGTATGAAATTTTTACAACATACTCCTCTGATTTAAGAATTTTCCCAGCATTAACTGCGAGTGTAGAGGTTCGTCTCGACAATAAGCTAGTGACACTAGAATTACCCGAAACCGTTGTTGATGCGGATTTATTTGCTTTGCGTTCTTTAGCTTGTTTCCAAAATGAAGATTTATTAGATTTGCCAGCCCAAGAGACTGCTTTATCGAAAACGGGACGTGAAATCTAGTGATTTAAATGTTAAATAATAAACATTATAAAATATACAAATTTAAAAATAACCATTTAATAAATTATACCGGTTCTTTAACATTCTCTAATAAATGAAATTCTGTAACTTCAGCAATGTCAGCCTGTAAAAATGGTCTTATTATCGGATATACGATACACCAAACATCAGTTGTTGATAAAAGTCTGGAAGCCGACGCAATAAAAGCAATGGTCCCTAAAATAGGAAAATACATAACAATTAGATATTGCTATTATGCAATCCGAAACTAAAATTACAAGATATAATCATATTTACCATAACGAATGTATATGCCAGGGTGACACATTAGTGGTGATACAATGGCAATTAATTCCCACAACTTCATTTTTTGGAATAATCCTATTTCTGCTAAGCTTGTGAGTGAATTAAGAACTTTTTCTACAACAAATTCTTCTGCATCTGGATTCAATAATTTTAAAAGTTCAGTTAACTGTATAAATGATTAATGTATATCAATAGTAATCATGAAATATTTTACCAGAGAGAGATTGAATCATCAAAGGTAGAATATATTCTTCCAAACTTCGACCTCCAACAAAAGTACCAACTCCGATTATACTTTCAAAAAACGCACTGCATACAAAGGTATATTTATCAATATGTTCTCCATAGTATATTGACGTATATTTCACATATATAAACATATATACACAAAATCTACGAACCTTCTTAACATCCAATCACGATCATTCAAGTACGTTATCATATGACTCAGTAGCACATCATTGGCTTTTTGTCGACCAAAGAAAATACAAAGGCTAGTAATATTCGATAATAAAGCACGTTTAACCGCACTTTCGGTATCAATTAAAAGAGTGGTCACTTGTTCTTGTATAATGGATTGAAGGTCATGTAAAGTAGCATCATAAGTCGCCTAAAATAAAAATTGTATTAGCAATTTCAAATCATTAAACGTTATGATTTCATCAAAAATTTTGTACCTCATAAGATCCTTCAATCACAGCAACATTATCGGCAACATTTAGATAATCCTCAGCCTTAAATTGCTAGTCATGATAAAAATAGAATTATTCCAATGCCTTTGCTATACATATAAAATGGATAAATATTGCAAATACTTACTTGTGTCAATTCAAGAAATCGCAATGCTGTCTCTGCAAAAGTTGCAATGCATTGGGCATATGTCATCCTTACAAGGATTTCAGGATCAGTAGCAAATTTACGAAGATTAGGCATTATATACTCTGGGAAAATAGTTGCGTTTGAAGGAGTAATAGTCTCAACCATAGAAAGCTATAGAAGTTTGAAATAATAAAAATCCGTAATTTGCAAAAAAAAAAAAAAATTGAATTTGAAATTTCACAAACCAAATGCGCTAACGTCTTGACTGCATTGGCTCTAACATGACCGACTTCATCACCCAAAAGTGCGATTAAATAAGGGGTTAAACGATCCAATTTAAATTCATCTTCCAAATGCTGCCCAATTGCAAGCAACATATCCAACGCATGAAGTTTTGATGAAGGATATGCAGTATTCCGGATAGTAGCGCATATTAGAGAGAGAAATATTAACGCACCATCGTCTTCATATAAGATGACTGTTAATATATCATTTTAATTTACGTTAAGAAAGATTTACTAATAAAATATGTACCTGCATTTTTTCCTCGTTTTTTATTTTTAAATGAAAAATAATCATAATTTGGTATATGAAGATTAACTGTTAACGCTGGCTAACATTTTAATAAGTATATTTTTATTATTAGTTTCAAAAAGCAATCACAGCACTAATTTGTACTACTAATAGAAATCAATACACACTGTCATATTCGGTGATGATACTTTAATAAAACAAAACAGAAAGCAATAGGCTTTATTTAGAATGGATATATTAACAAGAACTGTAAACAAACTTAGTAAAGCGCACCTTCTATAGGACGCGAACTTTCACCAACTTTATCAGCGTGGCTATTATTAACAACCACTTCGGTATCTTGCACGTTCTCATTGTAAAATCCAAGGAAAAAAGCTATTTTATCGAATTCATAGTAAATTCTCTCTATTTTATCATCTGCATCAGTATTTATAACGGTATTCGTTGTAATACTGGAGTCTTGAGGTTCAACAGCTTTATCAGTACCATTAGTAGCCAACGTTCTTGGACGAGTCTGGTTATGAGGGTCGGTCACCGAACCAATATATTGATGAAGGAATGTATAAAAGTATTGTGGAAATGCTGTGCCACGCCTTAACATGAATAAATATCTACATTAAGGAAAATAAATTCAATCATAGTCACAGTCAGATAAAATAAATTAATAACTTAAATACCATTCTTGTAAGTACTGCTCTGCAGTATATCGTTGCGAAGGGTCTACATGAATCATGTGTTTTACCATAGCCTAAAAAAAACAAAGTTGTAATTATATATAATTAAATCTCATATTAAACATGCGTGAAAAATAACTTTCATAAAATTTCATAGAATTTAATGTACCTTTATTTCTGCATCCTCAATTTTCTCCAGATAAACACCTGGATCATATTCTCCAGCCCTATATTCGAATAGTTGAGCTAAAGAAAATATTGGTGTGCCTTCTAAGAAAAGTTCAGCAATCACACAGCTAAATGTCAATTATGCATTCAAGACAAATCATAGGAAGGGATTAGCATATAAAAGTTGTAACGTAAAAAAAAATAGAAATATTGACATAGCACACCCCAAAGAAAATATATCCATAGCAGGTGTAATTGCACCGTCTTTTTCTCCAAACTCAAGTTCATTCTGCGAATAAGGATATTAAAATTAAATTTTGTATTGGCTAGTTATTTAATTGAAAATTGTACATAAAAGATATAAAACCTTTCTTCTATCAATTTCACTACCGGGTTTATAAAATCTTTCTGGAGCAAGATAACAAGTTCTTCGTGATGATGTATCAAAAAAGAAAGAAAAATCAGCAGGATTATCCTAAATAAATTTGAATTAAAATATTAAAACAATTAAACCAATAATGATAATGAAAGTCATTCGACAAATTTATCAATAAAAATCTATATTTATAGCATACCTCTGGAAGATATGTCGGTTTATATCCTGCGAAATCAGCCAAATATACCCAATTCCATGATGTGACGAGAATATTTTCTGTCTTGATATCTCCATGGTAAATCTATAAATACACAAATTATAAATAAAATTTATTTGTAAAGCGACACCTCAAAGATATGAAAACAAACCCCTCGAGTATGAGCATCGTGTACTCCGCACAAAATTTGATATGTAATCCATTTTTTTTCGATACAATTCAAAAATGGCCGTGTACTAAAACATTGATTATTATAATAAATATTTATGATCGAACTGCATGCTAATCTATAATGTTCAAGAATTATCTAACCTGATACGATCATAGAGACTGCTAAAAAAATACTGTCTTATTAAATATCCAGCCTTTTCAGTTTCAATTATTCTTTGGTATGGGAAAGCATTAGGGACTTCAGACAGTGCATCTTTTTCATCTAAACAAAATAAAAACAGATCTCGCATAAAAATATAGATCTTATCCTGGAATTCCAAGGTGAATTTTGCCTTACCTTGAAGCGATTTAACCACATTAACCAAAGACAAGCCAGGCTCTGGCTTTATGAAAATTTTTATAACAACAAGTCCTTCTTTATGACGCCCGCATATTGTTTTCATAAAACGTGCGCTACTTAAGCTGTAGGAAAAAAAAAGGTAATGTTCAGTGAAGTTTGGCAAAAAAACTATTAATTAAGATACATAATCTTACCTTCTTTCATATTCTATATCTCCAAGTTCACTAACATAACTATCAATGCCAGCAGTCGCTATTGAAGCAGTTGTACTTGATATGTTATTACCCATAGTTCAACGAGTATAACTAACCACTGAACTATGGTGAAAACGATTAACGATTAAAATTTCACGTGCTAGCGTTGAGTAAATTCATATTGATATGGGAATTGCAAATGACCAACACTATAGTTAAAGGTTAGTGTTAGAATATGGCAGAATTAGGAATTAGTTCACGTGTTCTGCTGTGCCGTTAGCATTTCACATATAAAAGCTTTTTTTTAAGTAAACCTTTTGACTTCTAATCAAAATCACAAAGCTAACTTTCTAATGACGGTAAAATCATCAAAGGGTGAGTAAGTACTAGCGGGTTATAGTTATTTTAATTTGACATAGATATATCACGAGATATGAATATTTTCAATCTTTCAGCGATGGGTTTTTTTTACACATTCCACTTCTATATATTAAATAGTAAAATTCCACTGGCGTAAAATTTATACTTGTATGCAAGCTAGTTTTTGTTTTATTTATTTGTAAAGACATTCTTTCCAATTTTTCAATACTTGAGCTCAGCTCTTCCACCGCCAACAAATTGTCTCCTCACCAACTACCCAAAGATCCATAGAATGAAAATGTACTAGTATCAGTGGTGAAAAAATACGAAAAACTAGTACTTGTCTACACGCATGAATTTTAATTGGTCAACGACACATAAAGCATGATCTATACATTTACATAGTCGACTAAACAGAATTTTTAAAGAATTGAATAATTTAGCCGACTTGAAAGAGTAAATCACTTAATGAATCCTAAGATATCGTGCAATTCCAATATTCCCATTTTTTTATTTCAATAATTAAGGGCTCAATTATAATTATGATTTACATTTCTTAAATCTCTCGGAGATTCTAGAATAAAAATTATGCAATGTATTTATAGTCTATTCTTTTTTATCTTTTTCTTCTATAATATTCCGCAAAGCTTTATATATCTTTGGCACAAATATAAAATTAGCTATTCCTATAACGATAGCCAAAACAAATATTAAGTTGAACGCCACTCGTGGAACTCCGTATACAAGCGTTTCCAATACTATTCAAATGATATGAATATATAATAAAACTCTATTTATTAGCAAAGCGAAAAAAAATGAAAATTGCCTTACCAACGTTGTAAATTACAGGCCTAGAACCTCTGCCATGGTGGATGGACACACCATCATAAATTGCTCTCACTCGGAGAAATTTTTTTGTAGTGCTCAACTTTGAATGAGAAGTCTTGTATAAATCATAAGTGTAAACATATGGGAATATGGAATAATATGAAAAACGCTTCAATTTCAATTACCTGTTCGTCATCTGTCGCGTTTTTTTTTAGTATGATTTTCATTACCTCTTTGAAATCCATTATATTTAACACGAAAATTGTGGGAAACTTATTGCAAATTATAGTAAATTGAAATTTGTAATTTTTTGATTAACTGGCCTAATACAAAATAATAAACACGCACTGTTGAAGCATAAGATACTCTCGTCTCATACGTCTTCCCTTCTTCTAATTCGTCAAGAATATACCAGTTTTCTTTTTCACTGCGCTCCATACTTTTGAATTCTTCAGAGTTTTTGTAAGGTATGACGCGTTCGTAGCGTTGGATTGTATATGGTGGCTTTAAAGTCTTTACAGTGCAATATTACGTATTTTTTTGGTCATGATTCGTTTAGAATTCATGCTTAAAAGAAAATTAATAATTAAATAAGCCTACCACAAGCCCTTCTTGCACACACCAGTTGTTAACTTCATGGAAAAGGGTTTCCGGAATGATTTCAGTCTCAGAAATAAAAACTTCTTTTTCAGTATTGGCAGAGATTAAATTATTTAATAAAAAGTATGGGAGTAATAGCACAATTAATATATTTTTGAGCCAGGACTCCATTTGTACAGAAAAGAAGATACAATAAAAATTGTGAAAGATATTAACCGCATTATATCATCAATCCATGGTTGTACATGGACGTGATACACCTTCAAGCCAGTATTCTAAAAATTTTTGAGAAACGCAAATCTCAATACGAAAACACAGGCTTTACTACGTATTAATAATTCATTAAAATCCTTTTAATGTTCGTATCAATATTAATACTCTAAGATAGGTGTTGCATAAATTCTCTTCGAATACTGGTTTTTTTTTATTTTGTCCCCATCTAAGGTATAAGTACTCTCTAAATATGACATATCTTCCTTACTGTCAAATGTACTTACGTAGAACATTAATATACTAAATTAACAATACTGACATTAATAAAATATGTATAGTTATGTATAGTTGCCGCCAAACTGACAGGTAAACAAATAATTTTCGGTTGCAATAAAAATTATCATACGACCTATCGCTATGAATAACAATTGATATTTTTGTAACATTTATTTAAAACAAAAAAAATATATAATGAAACTATTTTCATAAACTGACACGACCATCGCAGTTCGACAATTCGTTCCCATAAAGAACTCATGAAGTAATTTGTTCTATTCCTAAATTTTTCCGTTAAAGATAAATTTCTTTAAGTACATCTTGTCGAAATACAAAAACAATTGCAAAATTTGTAAAATAAACCAAAGTTCGTGTTTTATAATACCTGGGAATAACAAAAATAAATTACTAATAAGGTCTAAAGCGGAGCAAATTCACGTGACTCCATGCCAATTAAATTACAGAGTTTTGATGAAAATATGAAAAACGGCAGTCTAAACCTACCTCGGGTAGGGTAAAAATGTCGGGAAGGTGATTTTGCTTATACATGTTGTAAGTGGAATCTTAAATCAATATGAGTGGAAACAGAATTTCAAAAAGTATCGATTAAAATTTAATTATTAATTATAATTATTTATTTTTACATATTGTACTATGTACTTCCGCATGGCATACTAAGAGCGTTTACATTTGCAATTATTATTTTTGCACGTGCTTTTACAATTACAGTATACTTCTGTTACAGTTGCATTGATTGCATTTTTGCAGCTTCTCATATCCTAATAACTTTATTTTTACAAATTTTAAGTTCTTCATATTTAGTTAGACCCAGTGGTATAAGCTTATTTACTTTAAAAGTTACATTAAGAATTACATTTTTACATTGCAAATGATACATTTTGTTAGATAATTCTTCAATTACTTTATAAGATAAAGTGTGTTAGTCAACATAATTATAATCTATTTTAAAAACTGCAATACAAACATATTTATTAATAAAATATTTAGGTTTATATTTATTTTTTTTTAACATTTGGTTTTTTATTCAATTTTAATAAAATAGTATAATTGATTTTTTTTTTTGTTTAAAGATTATACTTCATGATAGTTATTTTATTAACATATGTTAGGATTAGTTATTACAATTATTTTTACAGAATTGTTAATCTTCAAGTGGCAGGTCTAGAGTTCAAATTCCATGAATAACAAATTTTAGAAATTATATTTGTATTATGGTAACTGTTTCTGTTGATTAATTGAATTGACATATCTGTAACCTTCAGTTGTATCATCTTGAATAAAAGCTTAGGCATCTATACAAAATATAATGTTACATATATATAGAGGAATGTTAATAACCAATGTTGTATAAGATTTTGATACAAATCTACAATAAGATCATCAGACATAGAAAGTAAAGAAACTGAAGAGTTAAAAATCTGTTTGAAAATCTTAATTAAGAAAATAGTACAAAACTTTTGATAATACTGTTGAATTAATAAAAGTTTATAAAATATTCCTAAAAAAATAGGTAGATAAACTGAATAATAAGATGTGTAAAGAAGCATATAATCAACTAACTTGTTAAAATTGTTAAAAAAAAAAAATATTAAAATATACTATAATAGAATTTAATTATTTTTTTTATATTATTATATATTTATTTTTTTTTGTTCTATATTATATTTTATATTTTTTTTAATATTTTTATATAGTTTATAGATTATTTTATTAGTTTTAATCATTTATTTAATAGATTAATATTTATTTTATTAATAGATTTCTTATAGTATTTTATTCTAACCAATAGTTGTTTAACTATCTAAAATAATAGTTGTTTAACATTATAAAAGTCCTGACCAAAGGACCTAGGTCATGCTTCAGATGTTTTAAATACTCCAGAACACTCTAAAATGATAGAACAATTAATTTAATTATAGTTAATTAATATTTATTAATTGATGATTCATCAGTCATCTGAAAAAAAATCTTAATATAATATAAATGCAAATTATTATGTATTTTATTATAGACTGAAATGCAATATATTCTTATCTAAAACTTTTTTTAGTACTAAGTTAATAATCCAAGTCAATTAATTGAAAGTTGTAAAGCTTACTAAGACATATTTAATAATGATTAGATTATCTAAATTAGTTTAATAAATGTTAAAAAATAATTAACTAATTATATAAAATTTCTATATAAACAATAGTTTGTTTATATAAAATTTTACATAGTTTGTCAATTGTTTTTTAATAATATCTCAGCATCTACTGAACTGATTTAGATGATTTAATTATTATTAAATACATCTTAGTAAGCTTTATAATTTTTAATTAATTGACTTGAACTGTTAACTTAATACTAAAAAAGTTTTAGATAAGCATATGCTACATTTTAGCTTATAATAAAATACATAGTGATCTGCATCATATTATACTAAAATCTTTTTTTAGATGACTGGCAGATTATTAATTAAATTTTTTTTTTGATATTAAGATAAGGTTTTACTTATATCTTTATTAATAATTTAAAATAGTTATATATATACATACTATAACTAAGACTAATACTTGCAGTCAGGACTAACTATTAAACTACTAACTATATAACTACTACTATTTATACAAAACAAATAAATTAAAAATTATATGCAAGAATAAAAACTCAGACTAGTTTATCTGTAACCTAAACCTACTAGAATAGTCAAAACTTACCTAAATTTAGATATTTAATATATAATTTGATGATATGCTATATTTAATTCATAAAATAGATTAAATATTAATTTTACAAATTGCTTGACCAATAGGAAGACATGTATTTGAGTAAGAATGTAATTGATCAAAAAGTCCACAAAGATATGAGTAAGTGTAATCTCTTTAAGAGCATATATGTTTTTTAGTTAAATTAAATAATCTTAAAGATTAGTTAATTAGTTGAGATTAGGATTTGTTTTATTGATTTTTCTAATTAGAAAAGTAAATACAGTATATTTTCTATAGTTGCTCGTATGATTGTTTGTTAATACGTATTAAAATGAATATCAATAATAACTTAAGAGGCCATTTTGTATAAGATGTTGGAATTTTAAATTGTTGATATAAGAGACTTTGGAATAAGTCCTTTAAAAATAAGATTAGAATAATAAATATTAGATAACATATATAGAGAATTAAGAGCTGAATTTTGTTAATTAAGTTATGTTTTTAGTAGGTGTTAAGATTAAACAAATTATTAAAGATAATTTAGTTGATAAAGGTTTGGATAATTTGATCGAGTAAAGATGGGTTAGCACAAGTGTATCAGTGGAAATAAGAATTAGATAAGTTACAAAAGAAGCAAGTAGTATCTAAATATTAGCTTAGATAAATAGTATAATATAATGAGTATATTGGCAACTTATTAAGAAGAATTTTTGTTTTAAAAGATTTTAGTTGATTAAGTCTGAAGTTAGTAATATTGTATGAGAATTTTTGATTATAATTAAAATAAAACCAAGTAAACTCCAATCAATGTTTTGGTTAAAGTATAGCTACTTACTGTTTTGTTTTTGTAATATCCATATAGCTAAGATGTAAGCTTTACAGATTTGTTTAATAAAGTGTCTTGTAGGAAGTTCTATATAATGGTATTCCTATTAGAAAATATGATAAAGATTGTAAAGATTTGTATAGCTAAATAAAAGAAGTGATAATAGTAAATGTTGTTTAGTAAAAGAGTCTGTTTACTTATTAAGATAGTTATCTGAATGAGTTTATACTTTGTAAAAAGTAATTTGTAATTTGTATAATTTAATAATGTTTAGAAGAATGTGCCAAATTGGCTATGAATTAAATTTGAATAACTTGTTAGAATAGATTGGCTTAAGTTAAAGATTATTAAATTTAAAAATTACTAATTGAGATATTAATAATACAATTTCGAGAAGCAGTTAAGATTACAGTAATGATTAAAAAGAGTTCTGCTTTGTAAAATAAAAGCCAGAATTTAATTTTAGCAAAGAAGGAATTAATAATTTGATTATTATTATTGACTTGGATTCAACCAATACCTATTGTACATTAATTAATATCAATATCAATTATAGATCTATTAGTATAGAAAGATAGTTGCTAATAAAAGAGGTTGTAATGTGAAATAAATATAAGTTTGTTAGAAGATTTGCTTGGAATAAAGATTTTAGAAGTGATAGAGTTGATAATAGGAATGTTAAGTAAAGAAGGAATGTAAGTTGGATGTTTAACAGCTATAAAGCAAATAAGGTCCAAGTAATTGGCATTGAGGTTAAGTTGGTGCTTTGAGTTAGTTCTGCCAAGAAATTGTACAGAAATAATTGCAGAACTTCAATAGTATAGGTTTGGTTAATTCTATAAGAATTAAGATGATATTCTGTATATTGTTTGTAGTTAAAAGAGGATAAAAGATTATTAATTAATTATAATACAATATTTATTATAATGTTACTATATATTTTCTATGTACTACTATAGTTATTTTTAGTTGTGCTTAGAACAACACTTGTAAAAAGTCTTCTAAAAATTAAATAACTATAAAGAGTTTTGTAGATAAACATATAGGCTACACAATAATATTTGTTTTATTTTTAGTTAATATATAAGTTATTGTACAATAAAGCACCAAGTATTGGAAAAATAAAAAATATAATATTGGTTTAT